AGTTCACCAAATCCCCATCCAATCGCTCCCTAACAATGCAGAATCCAACCCACGGCAATCTGGCAATCTTTCTATATTTTTGAAAACATAAATAGTAATGCATGATCTGCAAAACAAAAACTGCTACATGGAATTAATTGCCTAGCCAAAAACAGTGATAAATTCAGGTCTTTCCATGTAAGCCCTGTTTAGACACACCAGACCAATCATGAACATTGTCTAGTGATCTGCCTTTAATGGGTACATGCAATAGAGAGGAACTCAGATTGGTTAGAAAGATGGGTCTATGGATGTTGGGGAAGATGAGAGTTAGCAGAAGAGGCAAGGGAGCACTTTTAAATCAATGGGCATAATGCATCCTAAGGATGCAGGATAAAGATAAAAGATTCGAATACCGAAAGGTAAGTAAAAGCAAGATATAAAACACAAATATTTACAAATAGAATAAAAAGCTGCCTAACTGGGTATTTTTTTATAATAGGTTTACAATCTTTTAAAAGAAAGATAAAAAAAACAATAGAGCTGTGTAACAGCAGTGATAAAACAGATAAGTCCCCTGGAGTGATGTTTTGGGGTCTGAACAAACTAATTAAAGAGGGACTTTGTCCTGTCTCAATTCAGACAAACAGTTATTCATTTCCAAACTAAAATCCACTTCCAATATTTCAAATATTAACCCACTTCTACAACACTGAATGACTTATTAATGTACTGTTGGCCCTACTTAGTACAGGCAAAGAAAATTATCCTTCTTTGTACAGTTGCTCTCCCACATCATCTTCAGGAACAAGGGAGGGGAATATCTTTGTTGGGCCACTAGTACATTAAAAAGGGGTGAATGTTCAAATCTGGAAGGATCCATCTTCAGGTTAGACACAGTTGTGCTTGAGAAAATTGGGGAGGGGGGCAAAAAAGGCCAAAAATGACTGCAAACAGCCGTTGCAATGGCAGGTGCTAGAGAAAATTGGGGAGGGGGAAAAAAAAGGCCAAAAATGACTGCAAACAGACGTTGCAATGGCAGGATCTGTGTATATGTAATGTAATAAGCTGGAGACGGCTTTGAAGTATCAGGTTTCAGCTCAGGCAATGTAAAATGAATTGTCCTTTCCTATCTCTGCAGACAAAGGGTTCCTAACCATTCAATACATTCTTCATTGCCCTTTTTCAAAGCATCAAGATTGTATTTGGCTGAGTGATAATAATCCTTTTATTAGAAGGCCTGGAATCCAGATTTAGTTACACATGAGGCAAAGATGTCAGAGCTACATTAAAACGTCAAATGATTAAAAGACAGAAGTCCTTAGGTGGAGCAAATCCTTGTTGATCTCCCTCCTGTAACAGATCTCCATCCTCTGAACAATTATTCTAAAAATTTACTATAATCAAACATAAAATAATAAAGCTATGCAGTTTTTCTGCAAAATCCTGAAAGCAAGGGTGGATAATAACCTTATCAGGGCAAACCAAACTCTCCGACACTTTCCTGTTCATTTTCCATGCGTCCATTTCTCCAGGTCCAAGAGGTTGCTGTAGCTCAATTGCAAAACATTTGCTTTGCATGTAGAAGACCCCAAGTTCAATCCCAAGAATCCTGCCTGAAATCCTGGGCAGCTGCTACAAGTTAAGAGTTGGCAAGACTGAGCCAGATGAGCCAACCGACTCTGAAAAGGCAGCTTCCTATGTTAATATTTGGGGTTTTTATATGTGAGTACTGTATATACCTGTGAGCCAGCATGGTGTAGAGAAGTGGTTGCCAACCTTGGGTGGTGGTAGTAATGCTCCTCCTCCTCCCAAGCTCTGACTGTAGAAGCAGATACTTAAGCCACAGCAGCTCTGGATAGCCTCACGTATTCTTTGACTAAAACTCCCAAAAGCCTTCACCACCAGCTGTGCTGGTCGACATTACTGGAAGCTGCAGTCCAAGACCAACTGAGTTACCCAGGTTTGGGAACCACTGGTGTATGATAGGATAGAACGATGGTTTAGGACTCAGGAAAATAGGACATAGGAACTCATTCAATAGTGGTGTTGGTAAAACCACTTCTAAAGTATTCACATACTCTGAAAACCCTACCAGGGTCTCCATAAGTCAGATGAAATTTGACAGCATATAACAACTATACATTTGTACTATAATTACTACGGCACAGATTACAGAACCATTCCTGTGAAAGTGTTTTACAGCCGTACAACAAGACAGCCATGGCACTGACGTCCTGCATTTTCATAGCAACACTATGAAAAAATCAACCACCAGATACGCAAAATTATTTCACATATTTAATCAAAACAGACAGGCAAAATCCATGATTACAAAAAGTTGGCTAGAGCTGAGGGCAACTTGCCAGCTTTCTTCTCTCTGCATCATGGCTCAAGATACCCTTGATCTTTCCTTGGTCAGATTCTCCACTTCTCTCATGAACCGGAGGCAAAGCTCATCCTGCCATGGCAAGGCCACACACTGAACAGCCACTGGGAATCCCACGGCCCCTTCCATTGCCTGCAAGGACAAAACACAAGAAGATATTTTTGTATTAAGCGTCCAAAACAACCGAAACCATTTTTACATGCAGCAGTGTAGTAGATCCAAGGCTCACAGGGTCAAAGCCCCAGGACTTTCTGAGTAACAAGGACTATGACATCCTCTGTAATACCCCACAGGCTTCCCTGTTGCTTCCAAATAAGGCTGCAATTCTCACAGTAGCTGAGAGAGAAAATGTGTTTTCCCAGTTTTTTTTTGCTATTGTTACATGCAGCAGTGTAGTAGATCCAGGGCTCATAGGGTCAAAGCCCCAGGACTTTCTGAGTACCAAGGACTATGACATCCTCTGTAGTACCCCACAGGCTTTCCTGTTGCTTCCAAATGTGGCTGCAATTCTCACAGTGGCTGAGAGAGAGAATGTGCTTTCCCAAGAATGGTATACTATAGAACAGCGGTCCCTAACCTTTTTGGGACCGCAGACTGGTTCGGGGTGTGTGGGCTCCATGCGCAGGGAGGTGGAGGCACCCCGTGCTCATGGGTGGGTGTATCATGCTTGCATGGAGCGTGTCCTGCTTGTGGAGGGGTGTGTCGGGTTGTGGAGAGGCATGTCACATGCCCACCCATGAGTGCGGCACCCACCTGCGAGCGCAACACACCGACTGTGCATGTGTGCAGGGGCAGAGAGCCGTACCTCTGTGGCCCAGTTTCAGGAAGCCCGCGGACCTGCACCAGGCCACGGACCGGGGGTTGGGGACCCCTGCTGTAGTAGAGCATCCTTATAACACAAAGCATTTTGTAGCAATTTTGAAAGGACAGTTAAGAGCCATCCACTTAACATAAGAACTGCTCTTTATTTGCTGAAACAGGTAGATTCAACTGCCCACATTTTGGATTCTCCCTGGGGAGGCCTGGCTACAAGGACTGTCATAACAGGCCTTTGCACTTCCAAATTTCCCACAACATCACCAGTGACATACCTTCACAAAAAGTTTGTCCCAGTTGTCATTATAGTATCCCCTGTGATTTTTCAGTTCTTCTTCATCCTCCTTGGTCACTGTTGTTACAGGTACCACTCCAGCAGGAAAATCCAAGTAGTTGAACAAAATAGTGTAACTTGAACCTACTGGAGAGAAATAAGGAAAAAAGGGTCTTGGCTGCTTTTCATAATACATACAATAATTATAAGAATGACTACCACAGCCCGCGGACCTGCACCAGGCCACGAGTACACCCCCTCACATTTAATAAACATTTTAGTATATCTTTGCATGTGACAACATTTAGTATATCTTTGCATGTGACACTTGTCTACAATGCAAAGCAGTTGAGTATACAGCTTGTATAACAGTGTAAAAGTGCTGTCCTCTCAAAATAACGTAACACATGGCCATTAATGTCTTAACCACTGGCAAGAAAAGTGAGTTTAAAAAGGTCAGTCTGGAGAGGAGGCGGAACTGGGAGTCTCCTTGCACAGCCGATGAGTGGTTGACTGCCTGGATAAGTGGGGAAAGCTCCCAGCTCTACTGATGCTCCCACTGCTAAGATTTATTTTAAATTCCCTTTCCCCATCTGTTTTAGATTCTGAGGCTCCCTTTTGCCCTGGGAGAGCATTTTAAGAGCCTCAGGACTGGGGGAGCCTTTCATCATCATCATCATCATCATCATCATCATCATCATCATCATCATCAAATAGCTGCCTAATTACTGCCTCTGGGATGAGGACCACCAGTGGTGATCTGTGGCAGCAATTTGGGGCCATTTCTATCTATTCAGCTACTTCAGATCACATTTATACTTAGTGGCATAAAAAGGCTATAGAACCACAACAATCTGAAAGCCAGAGCTGGGCTGAGATAGGATTTCTCTCCCAAATCTAGCTGCATTCCTTCTAGTGTTGATGTATTTAACTGCTACTAGTTCCTGGCATTCCCACAAGGATCAATTCTGCCCTTTATGCTTTTCTCCATCTACAAGGAGGTACCAGGATAACCTGAAATTCCATGTAATTCTGTTTCTCCTTTTTTCCTTAACACCAGTAAACCTGTGAAGCAGCTTTCCCACACGTGCTCCCTCTCAAGTGTTTTATACTATAATCCCCATCATTCCCCAGCCAACTTGGTGGCATGATGGGAGATGTAGTACAAACCCTATACAAGGTCCCATATTTAGGAAAGGTGCTTTGCATAGTTGCCTGCTCATTTCTGGGCACAACTTAAAAGGCTAAAAATTGCCTTTAAAACACCAAATGGTTTGGGCCCATGCTTCCCTAGGGATTGCTCTACAAGCCCACCTATGATCTAAAATCTAGCAGAGAGGCCCTCCTCTACATCCCAGCTAGGATAGGACCCCCCATAAATGAAGACAGAAAAAAAAGTTGTGCCCTGATGACAGAAGTCTATGTCCCATTAGGCTCAGGAGGCCCTCTCTTAATTTCTTTTGCTGAAAGATAAGAAAGTTTCCATTCCAAGAGGCCTGTGATTCACTGGGCAGGTAATCCCATTGCCAATGCCTTTTCTGTCTGAACCTTCCTATATTTCATCTTTTACTTTTATGGAATTTTATTGTATTTTATAATTGTCTTCACTGTTGTCAAATGCTCGGAGTGGCAAGTGCATGAGATGGCAACAATCTTGCATGCACTAACACTAGGTAGCAATGGAAATGGGCTCTTGCCCCTCCCCTCTTCCTGTTTGTTTGCTTCAATTACTTTGTTTGTGAGTGTCTCTCTACAACTCCCACAATCCCACAGACAATACGGCCATTGGCTATGCAGGTTATGGGATTCTGAGAGCTGTAGCTGGAAAAACATGTAATGTTTTTGGTTGATGTACTCCAGACAACCATTCCATGCTTCTCAGCAACTGGAGTAGGGCTGAGTCAAGCCATGGACTGTCTGCCTTGAGGTGAATCAAAGAAAGTAACTGTTCTTGGATCAAGAGCTTCTACTAAGGTTTAGTCAAGCAGCAGTACAGTATTTACTTCCAAGTGACCCTGCACTGAGAAACCATTTTGCAAAGATATATGTACATACAGTCGTGCTCCGCTTAACGATTACCCCGCATTATGACAAATCTGCTTCACGACAATGTTTTTGTGATCGCAATTACGATCGCAAAACGATGTATTAAATGGGGAAATTTCACTGCGCGATGATCGGTTCCCTGTTTCGGGAACCGATTCTTCACATTATGATGATCAAAACAGCTTATCGTCGGGTTTTCAAAATGGCTGCCGGGTGCTCAAAATGGCTCCCCGCTGTGCTTAGGGACGGATTCCTTGCTATACAGGCACCGAAAATGCCCACCATAAGGAGGATCTTCACTGGACGGTGAATTTTTAGCCCACTGGAATGCATTAACCGGGTTTTAATGCATTTCAATGGGTTTTTTATTTTCGCTTTACGACATTTTCATTCTACAGCGATTTCGCTGGAATGAATTAACATCGTTAAGCGAGGCAACACTGTACGTGTATGAATATGCATGTGAGAGAGACAGATTAATTTACCAGGGGTAACGGGAAGCCCACAAAATGTGGCAAAATTGCCCTATATACACAAGAGAAGGGATGGTGGAGCTTTTTGATTAAGATATTTTTAAAAAAACATATGTATCAGCGGTTTATGATTCGTAGTTAAATTTCTGGGGCATAAGAGTTATACACAGATTTTGAGCTACACGGGAGTCCGACACCCCTAACCCCAGTATTCTAGAAGGGAGAAGTGTAGTCACTCCAAGATTAGATTACTGCAGTATGTGACTACCTTTGAAGAGTCATGTGTTGCCCAATTCTGGTTCAAAAAATCAGGATATAATGTGAGTGACATAATATCAGCAAATACTCCAAAGGGCATCAGTGTTTTCTGCATATCTGACTTTCCACAGAACATGCAAGTACCTGATACTTTTCCAGGGAATCCAATCTTAAAAGCAGGACCCAGTTCAGGACAAAGCATCACATCTAGATCCAGTTTCTTCCATTCAGCAATGAATTTCTGGCAGTATTTCTAAGGAGAACATAGAAAAGGGTGGGCATGAAAAATGGGACAGAGGAGGCAACAAACAGGAACATATCTGGAACTGCAAACATGAGGGCACCCCCTATTTAGACTAAAGGAATGAGATTATCCAGGCACTGAATTAAGTAAGTGCAAAGTGTTATGCTCCCCATACTGGCCTAGCCATGTACTTCCTCTACAGATTCCTCTAGTTCGTCCTACAACAACTTGATAAAGCACACCAAGCTGTGATGGGCACATCAGCTCAATAAAGACTACAATCTGGGCTGTTTCTACCAAGTTCAACACTTTAACCATGGCACTGCATGGGCTCCTCTCAACTGTCCCTTTGATTGCTGTAACCTTATATGAAAGAATACTTTAAGGATGGCTTTGAAAGTAGCCACAGTTTTTGGTACGTAACATCCACAAACCATCCTGTAGGGCAGGGGTCAGGGAACTTTTTTACCTTTTACCCCCCCCCCCAAATTTATATACATCAACATTACCCCCTTGATTTGAAAGGAAGGAAATCATACATTACTTAAATTCAAAATATTATTGAATCTACACAGGCTGTGTTCTGAACTAGCGGGATATATCATCAGTATCAATGGCTGCCAGGCTATGTACTGAACTAGCAGGATGCACCAAATTTAATAAAGATATGCACTGTTTTTGCTGGAACACATTGCACTCCAACCATGGGGTTGTATAGGGAGTAGTAAGATGTCCAATGTGCCTAGCAAGTTGCATTAAATTTCTGCTAGCTCACAGAGGATTTAATCATCATCAATGGCTGCCAGAGTGGTGCTAGCAATGACATGCTTGCTAGAGACAGCCAATGCAAAGTTGGGGGGCTTTTCCTACCACTTTAATCATTCTCCACTTTGAGGTTCAGCTGCAGGGGGGGGGAGTGGGTGGGTGGTAGCACTGCTGATTACCCCCAGGATTTTCATTTTTACCCCATTTGGGATAATTTACCCCTGTTCCCTGCCCACTGCTGTAGGGCTTCCTGAAATTCCTTTCTCTTTTGGATTTCCTAGTTTTGCAGCTCAGAAATGTGAGAGTTTGCAGCCTGTAAACTTATTCAAGATGGAATCCCATGTTAAAAATATCCTGATTTCATCTGCTCTAACAAGAGATCACAGGAGGAGAATATTCAGCTGCCGTTTCCCACTTATGTTCCAAGATGGATGCAGGAACAGGAGAAACTGCTTCGCAACTGGTCAGTCTTGCTCATGGACAATCTTGCCCAGGGTTTCAGAGCTGGCACCTTCCCAGCCTTACCTGACAAAGATAGTGACTATGCAGGTATTTTTATAATGTATGCTTAGGGTCTTAGCTAGGGGAATGCTGACATGGCTGTGGACTACTCATGATCAGCAGACTACAAGGTTGTTCCTACATGACAGCCATTCAGAAAGACATCTGCATGTGGATGTTCACTGTGCGCAGGTATTTAAAAAGGCAAATTGTGCCTAAAGCAGAAGGGGACAAGAGCTGCAATAGGTAATATGGCTGAACCCAGAAGCCAAATGAGTTTTCATATAACAGCTCGATCCTTTAAAACAAATGTTGTTGTCCTTTCTCACAGCTTGGAACATCTGTGATTTGAGGCTACGAAAATACACAGCACATCCTTTAACCCTTCCTTGACCTTTATGCTATGAGCACAGGCATCTAAAGAGCAGTCCTAAAATTGTTACCTCAATTTCAGTGTGAAGTACCCAAAGCTCTTTCACAGACCTAAAATTTAAGAGGAAGTGAGTATGAATGAGAAAAGAATGAATTTGATTTTCCGTGTCATCTTTTCCTCCTTTCTCAAGTTGGTACCCTGTTAGACTACAAATCCCATTATTCCTAGACAGCACAATGAAAGATGTTCCTTGTTAATGGCAAACCTCCATAACAGCTTTGGTGAATAACAATTCCTGAGGTGATTAATACAGGCACAAAAACCTCTCTGTACCGAATGAGGATGCTGTTATATCTGAAACTTGCGGTGGAGGAAGTAACTCAGATAGTTATCAGAGATTACAGTTGTGGGCTTTTGGTCTAGAATGGAGCCTTCAAAATCCTAAGAATTTCAGTTTTTCTAAAAAGCATGTTTCTATCCCTCATTGTTGCCAAGAAAACACATACAGAAAGCTTCTGATGAGGCAGCACAGCAAAGATATGATAGATCACAGCTGTGGGAAGGAAGCAGATAAGGAGAGCTCTAACTCCTCTCTGGTGCATAGGGAGACTTCAAGGTGTAATTTCTAGCATAAGAGGAAGTGATCGTCGGAGAAGTTTTTCACTTTCTGTCAAGTCAAGTCAAGTCAAGTTCAAGTTTATTGTATTAGCTAAAAGCTGTCACAATTGTTTAAAATACAGATATGGTCAATTAAAATCATGATAAAACCACAGACATATAAAATAATAAGAGACCCCTTTCTGTCAATGTAGCCTTACCTCTCAGTCATATTTTTCAGCGCTTCTGATATACGAGGACTCTAAAGAAAGAAAATAATTGACAACGTATGATAAGATAATTGTTGCAAAGCATTTTAATTATAATTGCATGCCAACCCATGAGGCAGACAACTCGGCAGTAGTTTTCCCACATTCCACCATTCTAATGGTATGTATTGCAGCTCAAACTATAGTCTTCAGATTAATCAAGGACAAATCAAAGCCAAGGCTGTTCATATTTGTATTGTTTATGTGCCATCAAGTCAGAATTGACTTATAGTGACCCTAAGAGAGTTTTTCAAAGTTGTGAGATATTTAAGAAGTGGCTTTACCAGTTCTATACCCTCACTGAATGTCCATGGCTGAGCAGAGATTCAAACCTAGGCCTCCTGAGTGCAAGTCCTTCACTCTATCCACTACACCACAATGGGTATCCTTCATATTTCTGTGCCTAACCCCAAATCTCTGTTCCAAAACAGCCTGCAACTTCTCCATTAAGGAAAATGAGAGCCTAGTATGGAAGAATATAGACTGTCCTATAATTCCATATAACAAAAATCTCCAAAGCTGATGAAGGAGATCAATGGCAGGCTAATCTGTATTTGGAAACCCAAGGCCCATATGGTAAAGAAATCAAGCTGGAGGGCAAGAAAGGAGGATTTCTCATGAGATCATAACTAATGCAAAGAAAAGAGCAAACAGGAAAAGGGGAAAGAGAATAAGAGGTAGGAAGCAGGAGAGGATCTACAAAAATTTGAATGCAACAGCACGTGCAAATCAGAGCAGATTAGTGAGAGAGAAGTCTTACTATTGGTCTGATGATCCAGGACAGGAGGTGTCGTAACCAGTTTGGCAACTTTGCTATATATAGCAAGTCCTTTAATCTGGGGTCTGAAGACTCTCCTTTGCTGAAAGGCAATCAAGACCATCAGATTCCACCACCTTCACTGTGAATATTATTTTCATTTTAGTTTTTTAATTTCTGGCTCCAGGACTTTGACAACCACCGTTACACTGTTATGTGCTGTGAAGTGGCATTTGGCTTAGAATGACCCATCAGGGTTTTCAAGGCATGTGAGATATTTAAGCAGTAGTTTCACTGCTGCCTCTCTGTCCATTACACCACTTTGGCACCCATTACTGCGGTTCAAAAACTATGTTCTCTACAGCCATGGAATTTAATTTACATTTTGGAGAAAATGTGGCATTTAGGATTCACCTTGACAGGCATTTCCACATTCAGCAGAGATTTCCCAGAAAAAACATAATAGCTACTTTTAACACTAAGATTTTTTTAAGGGCTGATGCAGCATCTGAAAAGGTTAAAATGTGACCCACGAGGAAAGTCCTGTTGAATTAAACCAAACAACTGTCTAATGAAGCATGAATTTCTAGTGGTAGCCTAGCAGATGCCCTAAGAAGCTGACAAAATAGCTTCCCCAGTGTCCATCCTAAATAATTTGGGGGTTTCCACAAATTCACCTAATTTAATGCTCAGACACGTACATAGTTTACACATTAAGTTAAGAAGAGACACTATGTACTACAGATCTCCACTTTTCTCCTCTCTGAAAACACTCCACTTCTTCCTAATCGCTCTTCTCGTGTTTATTGAATTTGTAACTCATCCATAAGATGGTTCATCTGCTTATCCCAAGACTGCTAACTTTGCTGAGAAGACCTTAAATACAGTTCTTTACCTAAATGTGTTTGAGAGTCCATGAATAGCCACTGGTTTACTGTTGTCAAACCATTTGCTGTCAATTGTAGAAAGATGAGAAGGTAGGATTTCGCTTTACAGAAACCATGCTTACCTCTTCTCCAAGAATACCTGTTCTTCTTTAACTATTCTATCTCTAACTATGCTTTCCAACTGAGACAGAAATTAGGATTACTTCTAATTTCCTTAGTACCTCCCCACCAGCAACAAATCTTCCTCTCTTGTTTTGGAAGAGTGTGTCATAATGGCCCAGTGTTGGGCCCAGTGTCTTCTGCAGTAAAAATCAACACAAAAAATGCATTCAGCTTCTTTGCAACCTCCATCCACCAGCAACAAATCTTCCTCTCTTGTTTCGGAAGAGTGTGTCATAATGGCTACCCTAAGTTTTCCAGCAGTGTTGGCCCCAGTATCTTCTGCAGTAAAAATCAACACAAAAATGCATTCAGCTTCTTTGCAACTTCCACATCCTTCTTTAACAATCATTTCACACACCTATCATCTCACATTACGTTCCTCTGCTTCCCATGTACGTAAAGATGCATAATTATATCACTGCTATTTACACAATGGTGTTTTTAACAATATGCCTCTCTAATTCATTTTTGACTCTTTCATGATCTACTGATATTTGAATTTTCAAAACGTTGTTCCTTTTTAATCTTCCTCAATAGAATAGAATTTCCACTTTTGAAAGAATGCCTTTCCCACCTTTTACAACATTTTGATGCTTTCACTAACCATGCTGGCACCCTCTTGGATTGATTTACATCTTTCCTAATTTGTACCATACTTTCTTGCTGAACCTGTATTAATCAATTTAAATTAGATGGCATCAAGCCACTAAAGAACCACATGCTACATCCTATGGCTATTTTTTGGTCCACAAGAGCTGCAGAGTCTCTAACAAAGCTGAGTCAGAAATTATAGAAAGGGTCAACAGTTTTATACATTTTTTTCATCTGCTGCAGCATAAGCTAAGCCAGGAGCACATGTCCTCTCCCAGGTGCAGGGATGTCAGAAGTGGTTTCCTCTTTCTGCATCAGAACATAGTAAGCCATATTTCTCCCACAGACAATAATAAACAAGAACACAGAAAGGAAGAGTCAAGTTTTTAATACAAATTTAGCCCTATGATAATTTTTTTTGCCCTCCACTATATATGACTGTTTACACAATACTCACAAGTTTTCTAGAAAGGTGGCACAACCGTCAGCAAAAACTCCTCTGGTACCAATGTTAAACATAAAACGGTCCACGTGAATAGGCTGGAAGGGGATCAACTAAAAAGGAAAGCAAAAAGTACAAGATGAGGACCGTCGACATGAAGGTAAGTGCCACAAGGTCATAGATTACTGCCAGTCCTGGGCAATCCCTGGTTTCACACCTTATACAAATATGACAGCTATAGACAAGCCCAGCTCGAAGCCAAAATACATGCAAGAAAACAGGGAAATATATTTGCATAAACATCCTCAAACATCATTTACAATTTTGCCTCAGCCATAGAACCACAGAAGACTGGAACCTGAGGGAGCACAACAGATCCAGCCCACTGCCAAAGCAGGAAATGCTTACCTAAAGCATCCCTCACAATTAGCCATTTAACCTCTGTTTAAAAACCTACAATGAAGGATAGCTCCCCACCTTGCAAGGAAATCCATTCCGTTTTTGAAAAACCATCAAGAAGGTCTTTTATATGTTGAGTGGAAATCTCATTTCCTGTAGTTTAAATCCCCTACTAGAATGTGAGGACTGTGGACACATTTGGGTGCCCTCTGGAGAATGATAGTGCCTTGTTGACTGATCCTTCTACTCCACAAGCACCACCAGATTGCTTTTGACATGAACAAAGAAGAAAAATCCCTTATTCCAGTTCTTACCTTCTGGAACTGAGGAAAACAAGATCACTCCATCTTCCACATGAAAGCCTTACAGATATTGAACGAGGGCTATCATTTTGCCTCTCAGTCTTCTCTTCAACAGACTAACGATGCCCAACTACCTCAACAGTTTCTGATATGGCTTGGCTTAAAAACCTTGATCACCCTGATCACCTTCCTCTGGGCACATTCCAGCTTCTTGATATCATTCTTGAATGGTGATGCCCAGAACAGGACACAGTATTCCAGGTGAAGATTACATAATTCTTTTGTCCTCAGAAGTAAGTAGCTAGAAGAGAGATTTTCATGCAGAGCATAGTCCCCGTGGAGGGGAGGTTTAGCCCTTTCTTCTCCAGCTACAATCCAAACAAACATACTCTCCTTCCCAACTGCATTACAGTATTTGCCTCAGTCAAGAAAAATGTCTACTGAAATCACAGGAAATATTTGTTCCTGGTTTCAAAAGCAGTGCAGCATGGGGGATTTTTGTCTTGCTTTACATGCCTCCTAGCTGCTTAGAGCTTATTTCCCTCTGTACCTGAGGTGAGGAAGGGATATCAACAATGTCCACAAAGCGTGCATGGGAGAAGGGATGGAGGGAAGGAGGACACATACCACATGGCCAGCCTTCTCTAGAAGCTGCTTGGTTTCCAGTACTGCTCGTTTCATTGAGGGGCTTGGCATGGTGAAAGAATCAGTGGCATAGTATCCTATTCGGAGAGGATGAGAGCTAGAATATACCTGTAGCAATAACAGAAGTGAAGAAAACAATTTCAAAAGGCCATTATCATGGCAAACAAAATCATGCTGAAAATCTGCACAGATCAGTTGAGGAAGCTGTGAAGGAGAATGCATGAATGAGGTATACAAGTCCGAGGTAATGTATGGGGGTGGTCTTGCCTGGCCTATATATGCCATAAGCAGCCCTGTCCACTGATGGTATGCAGCCCCTGACATCCCTGATGTTGAAAAGAAAGCAAGGATGGCACTAAGCTAATGTTTCCAGGAGGGAACTCTAAAAAGTTGTCTGCCACCAAAAACAAAAAGACCTCTGTCCTTCTCTGTTCCTCTTCAAGGACTGGTATGATCTAAAAAAGGGCCTGAAAGGCTGATCAAATTACCTGGGCAAGTACGTGCAGAAAAAGGCAGCCCTTCAAGGATCCTGATCCCCAGACAGTTCAGAACATCTTAGACAATTTACCTTCAGTCACAGAGTTATCTTCAGAAATGAACCAGAAGCCAGTATGGACCAGATAGAATCTTCATGGAAGAAGATATTCTCACCGCAAGCCCTCATTTATTGTGCCATGCTTTAAGTGACTGCTTGTTTAAATAAAAGTCATGGAAAGAGCACATCAGAGAAGCACAAGGCCCTCAGCAATAACATACTGTGCTTGGATTCTAGTGCAAATAACATTTTAATTTTGCACTTTGGGTAACAACTACTAGAGGTGGCCTGCCTGGCTGCCTAAAGAGAAGATAAAGAGTTTTTATTTATTGACTTCTGTGCAAGAGAAAGCAGTGCCCCATACCTTCCGATCTCTTACCTGCTCATTGAAGGGAAGAGGTGGTACTCTGGGGTCTAGCCGGAACATTTCTTCACACAAAAGAGCTCTCAAGCAAAGAGCTAAGCTGTCAACATCTTTTGCCATCGGACCTACACCCGCAGTAACTAGAACAGAAAAAGAACAAAATGGCAGTTTAGGCCATTTAGTGTTTCAGGCCTGGAAAAACCTTTGGGGAAAAAAATAAGTCAAGTTTGCATGGCCCCAAATCACTGAAATGCAAAACTTGGAAATGCTACTTTCTTTGATAAATGTGATAAATTTCTCCTTAGACAATGTGGAGATTTTCAGAGTCCTAGTCCAAAAAAGGCAACTTTCCAAGCTCAGCTAGAGCTTTCTTTTTTCTATTACAGAAAGTACATCACAATAAATCCAAGAACACCAAATTTCCCCCCTCCCCCCCAGAAATCTGAGTGTCAAAGCTGAGGAGCTAGTCATTTACTTTAGGTCAAGGGCGGATAACATGCTGCCCCCAATGCTCACAGAGACCTTTCACCAATATTCTTCAAATCTTTTCCCTTTTTATAACTGGCCAGACTAGCTGAGAAATTCTGGGTATTTTGATCCAAACCAGTAATTTCATCAACTTTATGTTGTGTTTTGACGCATTGCTAGTTTAGGAATGGGCATGGAAGATTATATGAATTGTTCTCAGTACTTAAGTCCCAGCCTGTCGTAATTAGAGATGGGCATGAACCACTTCATGCCTCTTCATAATAAATCGTCTGTGTGGCAGCACATTCATTCCTTTCCCCTTTCCCCCTTGTCAGCACCTCCACCTACCAGCTGGCACATGCTGCTCTGTCCCTCCCCATTGCATAATCTTCCAGATCAGGCAGGAGACTGGACTTCCCTTCTCTGCCTCCTCTAGCAGCTGGCCACTCAAAGGCAGTGCTGCAAAAATCCCTGCCCCATCTTCTCATCTGAATGGCCTATTGAAGGAGGTGGCGAAGGGAAGTCCAGGCTCCTGCCCAGATTAGAAGATCCTGCAATTGGGAGGGATGGAGCAGTGCATGCTGGCTAATGAGTGGAGGTGTTGGCAAAGGGTGTGCGCGAAAGAAAGGAACATGTGGCAGCTGTGTTGCCATGTAGACAACTTATGTTAAAGGGGTACAAAGTATTTCATGCCATCTCTACATGTAATATAAGCACATACCAGTTGCCTAAACTTCTGACTTTAATTATCTCACCATGGTAGTAAGGGTATTTATGCCCTTTCTCATGGCAATGGGCTCAGGCCCCATTTTCTGCTAAAGGGAATTACATTTCCTTCAGTGGTTCCCCTCCTTCTTGCTAACTTCCATCTGTTTCACATAGCTATTGGAAAGCCTCTAAATTCCTAGTTACATGAGCAGATTTAGATTTCCCCGACAGCAGGGAGGAGGTGCCAGCATCCAAGGGATCTAGGCCTCATAGAACACCATTCAATGTCTCCTTAGGAAAGGTGCATGGCAAGCTTTCCTTTCCTCAATTATCTATTGGGTGCACTCATCACTATTTTCAGTAAACTTTGTATCACACAAGTGCCTTTGTTCTTCTCCAAGCAGTCACCATATCTATTTACTTTGAGGCCCAGAAGGCACCAAGCCTTGAAACAGTACAGGTTTGTAAGTCGAGACCCCACTGTATTTACTTTGAGGCCTAGAAGGCACCAAGCCTTGAAACAGTACAACTGGTGTGATCAGATATGAAATAAGAACATCAAAGTGCCACATATTCATCTCCTTCACATTCTACCTTAACCAAAGTGATAGTTACCCACCTGATTTCTGTCCACGGATGCCTGCCATAATTCCTTGTTTGCTTTTAAAAGAAAAATCAGCAGCAGAAGAAAAGCAGTTTAGGAAAATAGTCAGGATTTCAAATTTTCAAAACAAATGCTCTACCTGGGAAACTATTATCAGGCCTTAAAGAAGATCCTGCTTCAAACATCACTGAAGCTCCCCTCTTCTGAACAGAGTACATGTCATCTCAACAATGTATTATATCATTTCAAGGTTGCCTTTCTTCCATAATGGGAATCTATCACACTTAATAAATTAAATAAATTAACACATGCACATGCACACTAATAAATTAAATAAATTAACACATGCACACGCACATGCACACGGACACACACACACACACACACACACACACACAGAGAGAGAGAGAGAGAGAGAGAGAGAATGTATGTTCACAACTGGCATTTATTTCACCTGTACAAGGAGAAAGACTAATAGCATAATTCTCCAACTCGCATTTATTTCACCTGTACAAGGAGAAAGACTACTGTAATAGCATAATTCCATACAGGCAATCTCAGAAGTACGACTTCAAATGGCTTTGCCCAAGATCAGTGAGTACAAGCTCTCAGAAGGGCACAATAAAAGCAGCAGTTCTCATAGCCCAAGAACTTGTCTCTGCAATAACTGTAACTTGCTGGTGTTTGTTACTTGAATTTTATTTCACCTGTACAAGGAGAAAGACTACTGTAATAGCATAATTCCATACAGGCAATCTCAGAAGTACGACTTCAAATGGCTTTGCCCAAGATCAGTGAGTACAAGCTCTCAGAAGGGCACAATAAAAGCAGCAGTTCTCATAGCCCAAGAACTTGTCTCTGCAATAACTGTAACTTGCTGGTGTTTGTTACTTGAATTCATTATTTTTTACTCCCTTTTTGGGTGTCTCTTGCCCACAGGATCTGGATGCTACAGAGAACACCCTATACACCAGATCTAGAGGAAGCTTCTACCAGAAGTCTTCAGCAATCTTTCAAGGATCTGTCATGTCAAAATACCTAATCCTGTTGCCCGTGGTCTTGAACCCACAAATCCCACAGAAACCCGCCGGGAGACGAATGCTTCCTCCCATATCGGTGCCGATGCCAAGGAGGGATCCTCCACTTTTGATGAGAGCACCTTCCCCTCCAGAAGAACCACCTGGTGTTCTGGTGTGATCCTGAGGATGCACCGTCTGACCAAAGATTAAGTTGCTACAGTCATAGCTGAGAAGGAAGAAAAGGCAGTGAATATACAGGAACAGCTCATCCCACACCAGCAGCTGCCACCTTCCAGGCCCTATCAGCTCCCTTGTACAACTGCTTAGATTGGAAGAAGACCTCTATTTCACAGAGGGTGTAGAGGAGTCTTCCTCAGACAAACTACTGTATCCCCTTCTCCAGACACTAACCCATGGAGGGAGGAAGACAGACCAATAGATAAATAGATTGACTGACTGATTGATTTAATATATTTATACCCTGCCTTTCAGCTTGCCATATTAAAACAGACAATGTAAGAGCTGGAAAGGGGCAGGGGAAAGAACAGCAGATCCCATCTTTGAGAGCCATTTACTGGGAAAAACGCCCTTGTGTATACTAAACTTCACAGTTGGGAATCCCTCTTGTGATCTCTAATCAAAATGAAGAGCAGGAGCCTCACCCTCCCACTTGTGATGGCAAACAAGATAGTGGGAGAAAAATCTCCTTGTTATCACTGATCAGTGAAAAAAGTGGATGTCCTTCAAGTACTCCTTGCCCCTTTGGGTGGCAAGGACTGTTTTCCATGAGGAAAGAGGCAGGGAAGTCTCGGCTGCTCTGAACAGAGATAAATGGGAACTGGTACTAGTATGGTATCGAGATTGGATGCATTCACACACCACAAAGATGGGCTCTAAGCCATGCATTAGGCCAATCAGGTGCCAGTTTTTGGTGTTCCACTTAGATCTTTTGCATGTTCCTTGCCAAGGACAGCTGGAATATGGACCTAACTAGCATTTGCATGTATTTCATTTATCATACACAAGTGCTTTGTTATCATACATTTATTATAGAGAAAAGGCTTACATTAAGGAAGAGAAGAGCTACATTTTGACAGCATTCTGATATCTGGCCTGCGGGTGGGGCCTAGGGGTGGGACTTCCTGCTTTAAAAGAGCGTGTCTCAAATTTTGTATCTGGCCTTAATATGGTAAATAGGAAAGCCAATTAGATTTGCATAAGCCTGGGAGTCTGGAAAGTTTTAAGGATCAGATCGTACTTTTGCACTATTAAAGAGCAGGCCGGGTAGGTGGGGCTCGTTAGCCATGGAAGGCAGCCCGTCTAGGAGAAGGAAAACTCCAATTTCAAACCTCCACTGCCTTGTGGCTATAGCCACTCATGGAAAAGGCTTCAGGAGCTAACCTCAAGGCAAAATCCGGAGCTGGAGTTCCGAAGGCAGCATGTGTCGTTCTGCCAACTCCTGCGACATTGCTGGAACCAGTTGTATTGGCCCTTGCCTTTGCATTGGACCATTTCAGCAATGTGGAGAGGGGGGATCTGCTGATTGGGTAACAGCCTATCCTCCATATTACCTTACCCGGGCTTCATGTTCTGGAGAGGACACTCCTCGATTCAGAGCATGTTACCATAGTCTCTCGAGACTGAAGGATGCCTATGCTAGATATCTGAAAACAACTAGCAAATTGCTAAGCGTTTGTATAGAAGTCAACAGACACAATAAACAGACCAGGAGGAGGAAGATTATGTGATTTACCTCATCAAAGATTGAGGGACATTGGTTTTCACAAATGGAATTGCTCCCTGATGTTTCAACACCTGGACTACAACAGCATCAGTTGTTGCTGGTCGGTTGAGACACTTCACGAAACCTGACGTAGAATCATGTCCCTGGAAAAACAGATTAAAAAATGAAGGCGACATTCAGCTTCCATTTTAAATATCATATGTCTGCACAGGTCTCAGTATGTTACAGATGACAACAAGTGTAACCATGGACAACAGAACATAGTTTCATCTTGTTTACCGAGGAAGGAACATATGTCACAATAACCATGAAAGCCTTCCCTCATCCCCCAACAGTTAATTCCTGACGACTTTTTCTTCTATACTCCTATGATCTTTATTTTCGTGTATTTGTAATGTTTTTAATATTTATTACTGCTGATTGTAAGCCGCCTAGAGTGGTCGAATCTGGCCAGATAGGCGGGATAGAAATGAAATAAATAAATAAATAAATAATATCTTATGGAAAAGAGATTAAACACAATCTCTTTATGTTGTTATAAAAACTGTGAATACAATTTCCAGACTGCCAATAGATTTCACATGCATTCTTACCCTGCACAACAAAGGAAAAAAAATATGTGTCAAGTTACTACCTTCTGTCAATGATCAGATTTAACAATGATGGAATCATTGTTAAATTTATCTTTTTGTCATTGACCGGAATTAAATTATGCAGAGAGGTAATGATTTGCCTAACCAACAGGTTACTGCTTGCATTTTTTTTTAAAGTCACAGGCCAGTAACATTATTTTGTGCTGGTTGCATCGCTTGGTAAGCCCCAAACAAGATTCTGGCTGCTACATGGGAACAAATGGTTTCAACAATCTTGAACATGACGGACAATGAAAGAAGTTTAAATGATTATCAGTTATATGTGGCATGACTATGTTCACAGAAACATGCACTATTGTGCAGTCACACAACTACTTTAGATTTTTCTCAAAGGATTCTGGTATGATAACTTGTTTTGTGAATGATTTGACACCTGGGAAAACCATGGTTTACAATGTGCTGGAGAGAATTATACAATGAAGAATAATAAATTTTGAAAAAACCTATAAGAAACAACCAGATATATATCTTGTACCACCACTAATTATAAAGGTCCCACTATGTAAAAATTGTTACATAAATTGAACTAAGTATAAAAGACCACACTGAAGCAGTGAATCCCACAGCCTTATATCCATTCTTTATTCCAAAATGGGTCATGTCACAGCGCAATGCTAATTCCACCTTCTCTCGGTTACTGCAGGATTTTTTTCATCTTTTAATATACAGAATGTCTGCAGTAACTTTTCTGCAAAGTTGTGGATAGCTTTCTCCTAAGTCTAGCAATTTATCTAAGCTAAAACAAAGCTAACCAAATCAATTGCTGAACGGTATGTTGATGCTTCTCTAAATCCCACTGATTAATATGGTCTAATCTATTTGGAACTAGCAACTTGGTTTAGACTGAAATATTTATAAGTCTATCACATAATTAGAGATGGGGGTATTCGTATATGAATACAAATATCCCCACACAGCTGGACGTAACTAGGATCTGAACCTCTGGAACCAGACCGTCCACTCATGCGTCCGCCAGCAGCAGTGGCTCCACTTTCCCTTCCAATTGCTATGGAGCTCGTGTTCAACTATCCATTCCTGGCAGAAGGAGGGAAGACAAGTCTCCCTGTCAGACTGATGAGTAGCTAGTCAGCCATGAGCTCCGGGGAGATTGGAAGGGAGAGTGGAGCCAGCAGCCACTGCAGACATGTAAACGGACGCTCCGGCCTGTATCCAGGGGGCCGGACCCTCATTATGTCCAGCAGTGTGGGGTTATTCATGTACAAATACAAATACAAATACAGTGGTGCCTCGCTTAACAAGCGCCCCGTTTAATGACGAAATCACATAGTGATGAAGATTTTCCGATCGCTTTGTGATGGCCTAAGTGGGGTTTTTTTCGCTTTGTGATGATCGGTTCCCTGTTTCGCTTACTGATTATCACAAAGCGATGATTTTCCCCCAGCTGATTGGCGGTTTCAAAATGGCCGCCGAGTAAAAAAAATGGCCGCCCGCTGTTTTCTGGGACGGATTCCTCGCTTACCAGGCAGCGAAAATGGCCGCCGTATGGAGGATCTTCGCTTAAAGGTGAGTCTGAAGCCCATAGGAACGCATTGAAGGGGTTTCAATGCATTCCTGTGGGCTTTTTAATATCGCATAGCGACATTTTTGTTCTGCAGCGATTTCAGCGGAATGAATTATTGTAAAGGTAAAAAGGTTCCCCTTGACAATTTGTCCAGTCGTGTCCAACTCTAGGGGGCAGTGCTCATCCCCGTTTCCAAGCTGCAGAGCCAGCATTTTTAGACAGTTTCTGTGGTCACGTGGCCAGTGCCACTAGACACAAAACGCAATTACTTTCCCACCAAGGTGGTACCTATTTATCTACTCGCATTTTACATGCTTTCAAACTGCTAGGTTGGCAGGAGCTGAGACAAGCAACAGGAGCTCACTCTGTCACATGAATTCGAACTGCTGATCTTCCGACCTTACAGCCCAGAGGCTTTGCAGTTTAACCCCATCTCCAATGGACATTTTAAAACAAAACAGTCTCAGTGCATAAGAAAAGTATATGCCTGGGACAGAAAAAGAAATGCTGAAAACAAAAAAGAAAATTCAGTTACTGATTTGTCACATGAATGCTTAGCACACTGGCCATAGCCAGCACTGGCTGTACCTTGCAGTCAATGGAATCTTTTATACTGACAGGAACACCATAGAGCAACCCTTTCTTTTCTAGGCTTTTCACATGCAGAACCTGGGATTCACTATCTTTGAGATAATCAGTCACACAGTTGACATCTCGAGTCACTTTTGAGGCCTGTGAAAAAGAGGAAAAGGCAGTTAAGTTCAATTCACAGATGATCCAAATCCCTCAAATAGGAATGGGTTTGGAAGAAATCAACTTCAAAATGAAACAGAACAGCACTATCTTCAAGCTCCTTTCTCTTTCTCAATCTCTTTGCTTTCATAAAGCGTACAACTTTCTCACCATCTCTAGAAAAAGAAGTTAAGACAGCTGCTGAACTCCTACTTGCAAATTATGCAAGGGTATAAGTACTGCACAATTAGCAATGCAAAACTGCTGTGAACCAACGAGGTATCAATCACATACTTGCCCTGTGCAAGGACATGACTAGGAACACAACCAGCATCTTGTTAATTGGTGGCAATTCATTACCCCAATGTACAAGATTTCTCTCATGGATGCCTAAAGTGCCAGCAGGATTCCAGCCATTGTCTCTTACCTGAATAATACTGAGAATGTTGTGACATCTGACAGTATTAAAGCAGCAATGATAAAATAAATTCAGAAATGATAAGATGCCCATAATCAATCAACCATCTTCAAGGAATTTTCACCTTTAATTAAGTACAGTGGTGCCTCGACTTACAAACTTAATCCGTTCTGGAAGATGGTCGTAACTCAAAATGGTCGTAAATTGAAGCACCATTTCCCTTTGGAATGCATTGAAATGTACTAATCTGTTCCGGCCGAAGAACAAAATCACCAAAAAAAACCCAATCACATACTTGCCCTGTGCAAGGACATGACTAGGAACACAACCAGCATCTTGTTAATTGGTGGCAATTCATTACCCCAATGTACAAGATTTCTCTCATGGATGCCTAAAGTGCCAGCAGGATTCCAGCCATTGTCTCTTACCTGAATAATACTGAGAATATTGTGACATCTGACAGTATTAAAGCAGCAGACAATGATGAAATAAATTCAGAAATGATAAGATGCCCATAATCAATCAACCATCTTCAAGGAATTTTTTAATCTGAGTACAGTGGTGCCTCGATTTACGAACTTAATCTGTTCTGGAAGATGGTCGTAACTCAAAATGGTCATAAATTGAAGCACCATTTCCCATAGGAATGCACTGAAATGCACTTCATCTGTTTGGGCCGAAGAACAAAATCACCAAAAACAAACAAACAAACAAAAAAAACAAAAAAAAACCCACTGCAAGACCCATTGGAAACGTGATTAATCCATTCTGGCCAAAGGAGAAAAATAAAAAGAAAAGCAAGCAAACTGTGTAAGATCCATTGGAAATGCAAAAAAAGTAAAGATTAATCCGTTCTGGCCAAAGGGGGAAAATAAAAAGAAAAGCAAGCAAACCGTGTAAGACCCATTGGAAATGCAAAAAAAAAAAAAAAAGGAAATTAGAAAGCATGCAAACCATGCAAAACCAATCAGAAATGCAAAAAAGCAAACCAGAAAGCAAGAAAAGCGGGCAAGACCCAT